AAATTAAACAACATTTTTATACCTTCTTGGTTAAATTTTAAAATAAATAAAATTTTTAGGATAATAAAATATTAGAATTTAAAAGTTATCAGTCAATACCTTCTGACCTTTTACTGTTCAGTTTTTTTCACTACACCAATGACACTCTTCAAATGTATCACCATGATTTAATCCTAAACACTCTTCGTGAAACCATATTGAATATTTTTTGCACATGGCCATATCAATGACTTTTTCTTCTTGGCAGAGTTGACAATACCAACTAACACTTTCAACATTTTTTGATGTAAATTGTACATTTTCCAATTTTTTCTTTTTATGTTGACTTCCTTGTTCTTTCAGTATCCTTTTCTTTCCTGCTTCCTTAGATTTTTCAATTTTTTTATTTTTTATTTTAACACCTTCAATTTTTGCTGCAGAAAAAAGATTTTTTTTTGGTGGTCCTTTTTTTGTTGTTTGCTGTGCCTTACTGCTTTCTAGTAGGTCTTTATAAGGACTGCTTGTTAAAACAACTGCCTTTTGTGCAGATTTTTTTTTTCTTGAATAAGTATCACTAAGGGTTTTGGGTATAGGTGAGATTTCTTCAATAACTTTCGAAAATGTAGACACATTTAATGTTTCATTAGTGACATTAGTGACAGTAATATTTTCATTTTCCTCCAAATCATTTGTTTTACTGTTTAAATCCACTTGATAATTTTCTATGTCTTCATTTACATTATCATTAGGAGTAGGAGATCTATTTAAACTATTTGAAACAATAAAATGATGATCTTCAAATAAATGTCTAATTACTGGCCAAATTCCAGAGCCTCGGAAAGCATTTTCAGCTATACCTATTGTCAGAGGCGGTTTGAATGTATTATACTTGGTGGTGCAAGACAATATATAGACACCCCCCCCCCCCTATTTTCACAAAAATAACAAATAAATATATATTTTTTTTATTTTTCCATGTACCTAATTTTTTAGTAACCTCAGTTGTTTACACTTTTTATATTAACAATGATTGTGTAATGATTTTTGTACTTACGTTTGTTTTTGTTAATAAAACAATAAAAGATATACATTGTTGTATTTAAAAATAAAAAGTAGGTACATACTATTTTATAGTATTATTCATATTGAAGATTTGATTACTTTAAAAAATATATATATTTATAATTATTGCAGGCTTTTATTTTGAATTTTGATGAATAGGTACTTAAAATTTAAATATTCAATATTCAAATATACACTGAGTTTATTATAGATTCATAATACATAATATAACAAGCCTAGTAGTACAGATAATGTGATATAAAAACAAATTAAACTTAAGAAAATAAAAGTGCTGATTGTAACAGTTTTGACCTTGAGCCATACATATTAATAGCTTCGTCTATTGGTAAATCAATATCAGCATTACATGATATCAACATTAAATGATCAAGTCTAGATTCAGACATTGTTGAGCGAAGATTGGTTTTGACTAATTTTAATTTTGAAAAACACCTTTCAGCACTTGCTGACGTTGGAGGTAAAGAGCAAATACCTTTGTAAGCTAAGTACAAATTTGGAAATGCCGCCGACATACCTGTATTACTGAGAGTTTTAAATATATCTAATAGTTTTAATACATTTGTATCTTCATCATTGGACCTCACGCTATCATTATCGCTGCTATTATTTTTGTGGCTGAATGCATTAATTGTTGTATTATTATCTATATTTTCTGAGACTTCAGGACATGTTTTCATGAAATTTTTAAAGTTTTTGGAGAATAAATTATACTCGGTACTTAAACTATCCTGATCAATATTTGTGGATGATAACCATTTACATATATAATTAAATGAGCTAGGTGTGGTAGCAGATTTTTGAAGTAAATGTTCAGCAGAAAACAGTGAAATTTCATTAAACACATTTTCAGCATCATTATATCTGTCATCCAGCTTCATTAAAGTTTTATCAAGAGTCATATTATATACTTCGCTAATATAGCGGTCCTTTGTAGACAAAAGTCGCTCATCGTTTGTTTTTTCCCCACTCATTTTTTTTTTAATAGATGTACGTTTAATTGGCATATTTTTTTCTTCTAAGTCTAAACTTGTGCAAAATGATTCAGAATCAGAAAATATGTTGGATAAATTATCATCTATTCTCATATCATTTAAAAATTGTCGTGTAGCTTTAACAAGCTTCATTGCTTGAATGAAATCCATATCTGGAGCTTGTAAATAAACAGATAATGGTGTCGTAGCTGAAAATATTGTTTTCATTAAATGAGCTGTGACTATAAAAGAAAATTTGTTTAAGTTTTTATAAAACCCCTTGGCCATGTCACGGATTTTTTTATCAGCCTCTTCTGACATAATATATTTTAATGTTTCAATTACTGCTTTATATGTTTTTAACATAACATCAATACAACGATCATGGTAAGTCCATCTTGTATTTGAAAAGTGTTGTAACCGTCGAATACGCTGTTTAGGATAGATTGATTTTTGTAATTCAACATATTTGGCTGTGCGTTTTCTTGCACTAAGAAAATTTACCAAACTTCTGACTGTTCCAAAGAAATCTTGAACTTCGGCAGTTGCTTCACATGCATCACACACTGCTAAATTTAGGCAATGAGCAAAACACCAAACGTGCAGAGCATTAGGATTATGATTTTGAATTAGTGTACGTAAACCTTTTATTGCACCTTGCATGTTAGAAGCACCATCGTATGCTTGGCCAACTAATTCCTTTTTCCAATTTAATGTATGGTTGTCACATATTTTACTAAATAATTGAAACATACCATTACCGGTAGAATCCACAGTTTCATCAACACACATTAATCTTTCATAGATAGTACCATCAGTAGTACAATAACGTAATACAAAAGCGAATTGATCTAGCTTAGATACATCAGTAGTAGAATCTAGTATTAGCGAATACATCCCCGATAACTTTACTTCATTAAGTATTTTCTTACGAATTGTTTCTGCTATACATTCAAGCATTGCATTTTGTGACCCTTTAGACATAAAAGACAGTCTTGTTTTCTTGGACGATGATTGTATACGATCTAAGCATAGGCGGTACTACGAGGGGGGGCAGAGTATGCATCTGCCCCTCCTGCGGACCGTACCTGACACCTATATTAATATTTAATTCCTTGGAATTTGAATCTCGATTTCCTAACTTTCTCTAAAAAAATATATTTTTAATTTTTCAAATTTCAATACTAAATTTGTTGTGGCGAAATAATAGGCGTGTTTTGGCGATGCAGTTTTGAGCAACGTGGACTATAATTTAACAAACAAATTGTTTTGGCGATAATGTATACTGCAATTGTTTGATAACTGAATGCTAAAAACACGCTTAAATATTGTATATGATCTAAAGTATTGTTCTGACGTTCTGTCTTCTGTGGTATATTATCTACCGTGCTCTTATCTTTTTCTTTATTATCTATGTTGGTAACATAGACCACGGTCTTATATAAGACCGTGACATAGACCTTATACCTAGTAACTCAATTTTGATAAGGGGATTTGCGCCAAAATGTTACAGCATTGCGATAGATAAGATTCGAATTGTAAAACTGTTTTTACGAATTTTATACTATATCATTAGTATTAAATACCTACAAATCTACTATTGTCAATTATTATTATAATATTATTAAGTATGACTTCTAACAATTTCAAAAAAAAGAAGACTTTGCATGACTTTTTTACTCCAAAACTAAATTCTGGTAAGTTAATACCTATTTAATACTTAACAAATATAAAAATATTTTATTTCCATTATTTTTTAAAACAATGAATCATTTATCAGAAACAGTCTTCCTACACATACTCGGTATGCTGTTTCGTTTTAATTACGTTCAACTTATAAATTAATAGTATTAAATAATTTAGATGACAATAATCCAGATGATCAAGTTTTATTATCACCACAGTGTAGTACTCAACATAAAGAATCTGATATGGATACTTCATCATTTATTGTTAATGAACCATCAGGTATTTTAGTGTTTATATACACAGTTTTAAAATTATTTGGTTATTGTTCTTTGTTGTACAGTGTTTATAGATTCGTTGTATCTATTTATATTATTTAATTTATAACTAATATTGATGGTTTGTATGATGCAGTTGCATACATACTATTATAAATGTAAAAACAAACTATATTTAGTACCTACCTAACTATGACTATCATTAAATGTGTCAATTTTTGGTTGAGTGTTATTGTGTTAACCATTAATTTTTTATAATCATCATTGTTTGCATTAATACTAACTCCGATGTGTAAAATATAATTGTTGCATAATAATACTATATGACATATAGTATTATTATATTATTACATTGTAATGAATTTATATAGCTAATAAAATGTACAAAATAATAATTGTATTTATTATTGAAATTTAATGTTAGATTAAAATACAAGTATGGAAAATATATCTTAGGATCAAAGTAGGTAAGTAAAACTAAATTATTTTTTGTTGCATCAATCAGTAAATGTAATTGTTAACTAACTAACTATTTGTTAATTTGATATTTAGTGTTGAATCTATGATTAATATAGTGCTTTGTTGGTATTAAGCTGACTTAACTTTTAGATTGGCTCAATAATTTTAAATGGACATTAAATTTAATTCTTATTATATTTAGATGAAGATAACCGTAACTCAGATTTACATCCTGATGATCCAAAAAATGTTATACCATTAAATCAAATAGAATTTAAACAGCGAGTAATCAGAGGTCCTCATCGACCAGATTTAAAATTTTATCCAAGATCATCATTTAGTGGAGCACAGCGTTCGTTTCAAAAATCCTGGTTTAAATTATTTTCATGGTTAGAATACAGTCCAAAGTTTGATTTGGCATTTTGTTTTCCATGTCGCATGTTTAACAATTCTAATGGTATAAATGTTGGTCAAACTGATAGGGCTTATACAAATACTGGTTATAAAAATTGGAAAGCGGCTACCATCAAATTTAAGGCTCACCAAATGTCTAAAGTGCATTTAAATTGTGTAACGTCGCTCTCAAATTTTCTACATTCAAAACCAATTGTTGTATTGTTAGATGAAGAAAGAGAAAATACCCGAAGTCAGAGAGAAAAACAAAGGTTAATAAATAGACAAATAATTCAACGTTTAATAGACGTAACAATTTTTTTAGGCATTGGTGGTAAACCATTTCGTGGACACAGTGAGAAGAAATATGATATTTATAAGGGTCTGTTTTTGGGAATAGTTGACCTTTTAAAAAAATATGATCCAATATTAAAAAAGCACTTTGAAACAGGACCTAAGAATTCTATATATTGTAGTAATTACATACAAAACGATATCATTGCATCCATCAGTATTGTGATTAAAAGACAATTAAAAGTAGCGTTAGTAAATGAAAAAGTGTCAATAATGGCTGATGAGACTAGTGACGTCGGTCACCAAGAACAGTTATCTGTTGTAATCAGATATTTTGATAAATTCAAAAACAGACCAATAGAACAGTTTGTATGCATGAAAAGAATGATGACAGTTGATGCCACAAGTATATTTAATGCTTTAAATGATGTAGTTGAAGAGTATGAAATCAAATGGGAAAATGTTATTTCTACTTGTTTTGACGGTGCTGCAACTATGTCTGGAAGTATTACAGGAGTTCAGACAAAGTTCAAGGAAAAAAATCCAAAATCTTTTTTTGTGCATTGCTATGGCCATTGTTTGAACTTAATATTAGTTGATTCTATTGGCAAAGACAATAAAGTGACATTTAACTTTTTCGGGTGTATTCAAATGATTTATAATTTCATTGAAGGAAGTTGTACCAGGCATGCAGTTTTTGAAAATGTGGCAAAGTTGATAAATATTAAATTGAAGACATTAAAATCATTATCAACCACTAGATGGGCATGTAGGTCTGAAGCTGTCAATGCTGTAAAAAACAATTATTCTGCTTTGTTGATTGCCATAAAACAAATTACAGATAATACTAAGCAATCAGATATAAGGGCTAAAGGTCTCGGTATCATTTACCAAATGGAAAGTTTTGAGTTTATTTTTGCTATGCAAATGCTAGATCCAATTTTGAATTTAATATTACATGTAAGTACAGTTTTACAGGCATCAAACATAAATTTATTAACAGCTGTTGACCTTGTTAGGTCATTAAAAAAATCATTAGAATCTATGAGAAATTATGGAAATGATTTTAATAATATTTACAAAAACGTCAAACAACTGTGTGAAGAAAATTGTTCAACTATTCCTGATGTTAAACAAAGAAAAGTATCATCTAAAATAGATACCGCGACCAATCAACATTTTATGTTTAGTAAAGAAGATGAAATGAGAGTAAATGTATACTACCAAACATTAGATCAGTTGATAACTGGATTAAATTTAAGATTTAATCAAGAAACGTTAAAGATGATAGAATGTATGGGCCGTTTATTGAAATTAGAAACTGATAGTGATGATATTCTTCATCTTTCATCTGTATTTGATTTAGATGCTGCCAATTTAAAAACTGAAATTTGTCTACTTAAACAATCATCAGACTTAACAGAAAGTAGCAAATCAAATTGTGAAACGTGGATGGATTGGTTAACTATCTCTGGAACCAGCAGAGAAGTTGTATTTTGTAATGTATTTAAAGCTTTTAAATCATTCATGGTCATTCCTGTGACGACTTGTTCATGTGAAAGATCATTTTCAAAATTGAGCATAGTAAAAACCAAACTTCGAAGTGCCATGTTGCAAGAACGTTTAGATAACCTTTTAATTATGTTCATAGAACAAGAACTAGCATATAATGTTGATCTTGATGAAGTTATTGAAATATTTAAAACATTGAGGCCAGCTGAGCGACGCATGGAGCTATAGGATAATAAATTCTAAAATATGTACAGCAAATTCATGTTATTTTATTAGTAATAAATATTTCAGTTTCGGTCAAAAAATTAGATTATTTTTTATAATTTATAGGTATTACTTAGCCTAAAAATGTGGTCTAATATAATTTATAGTTAAAATATTTTTTGGCCTCCCCTGCCAAAAGGGTCTAGTACCGCCTATGGATCTAAGTGTGCGCGTAAAACTGGATGGTATTTTGAAAAAAGGTTAACCCAGTCAAGAAATTGTCCTTGAATATTATCATTTGCTGATTCTAAATGTCCTCTTAAAGCTGAGTTATGTTTTGCTAAGCATACAACAACGTCCATGAGAACTTTCACAATTTCTCTATTTGCAGTAACTTGTGTATTAGAAGATTTTGTTAGTTGTAAATCTATACGGTTGTAATTAATATACATAACTCGATTTAGTTCAGCCTCTAAATGATCTTTACATGTCTCGTGTTTATATAATCTCCCATGAATTCCAGATAGGTGACCCCATGAATTACAACCAGAACTAGCAAACAAACCTTTTTGTGCTCGTGGTGTACCAAAAAGTTTGCATGTCCAACAGTATACTTTATCAGTAGATGGTGAATAGGCAAGCCATGTTCTATTTTCAGTTTTTTCATTTACCAGTTTGCTATAATATACCATTGAAAATGAACGTGAAGGTGTAGACGAATCATGTGGGAATTTCCTTCCAGGTAGATCAATATCTTTTGGCTGACATGGACCCAATTCTAATAATGTAAGTTTTAAACCAGGCGATATTGTTTTTCCTATATAAAACGCTGGATCATTTTGAAATTTGGTTGTAGCCAAAGAATTATCAGGAATAAAATTAATTGGTTCTTCTGAATAACAGTCTTCCAAATCAATTACTGTCTTCTTAAATAATTGATTAGAATCTTTAAAAAAAAAAAAAATTGATTTATTGAAATTAAATAAAAATAATTTAAAAAAAATTAAAATATATTTTATTAAAATTAATATTAATATTGAACAATACTAAACCTCGGTTTAGTACCTTAAACATAAAATAAACTATTA